TTTCTTGTGTGTGCAGTATGTGGACACGGGTCGTCATTTGGTCCTTCGTTCACATGAACTTAGCTTCTGACTCTTTTTTTATCCTGCAATGGAGAAAGAAAAAGAAAAACATCATATCACATCCCCCCACCTAGATGTCCGCACCTCTTTGTTTTTTGTCCGTGTTTGTTTTGTCGCATGCACCCTCACCTACAAATACGAAATATATAGAGGAAGAGGAAAACTATTTGTCGCATGTATTTTGTTTTTAAATATAGGCAAACACATTGTTCTGTCGGCGATCATCTTCGCTGCGCGGCTGCCGTGGAAATCGTCCATGTGAGCGGGTGGATACGAATCTAGTTTTTTGTCGATGATGTAATCAACAAAGCACATGTGAATGTGGCGATGCAGTTCAGCAAAAACGGAAAAGGAGCGACAGGGCATGCTCTCACTGAGTCACTGCTTGAATTTATTTTTTTTCTTTTTTTTTGGTAATCCTCCCTTTAAATAAAACAATCAATCAATCAATGATATTGGATTCTTGATTGGTCGCCTTTCTTTTTCATTGATTGATTGATTGATTGATTGATTGATTGATTGATTGATTGGTTACTCGGGTTCTTGTTTTTGGTGATCCTCCCTTTCAATAGAAAAATCAATCAATCACTGATATTGATTTCTTGATTGGTCGCCTATTTTTTTGATTGATTGATTGATTGATAATTCGGGTTTTTGTTTTTGGCGATCCTCCCTTTCAATAGAACAATCAATCGATCACCGATATTGATTTATTGATTGGTCGCGATTTTTTTATATTTTTTATTGATTGATTGATTCCCCCCCCCCCCCCCCCCTCTCCAAACCCAGCTCACGTTGCCCGTTGGTGGGTGAAGTCTGTGAAGAATCCAACAGTTGGTGAATTCAACCCAACATTTGGGTATTTTTATTTTCCCCCCTCTCCAAACCCATCAACAACGTTTAAGGAAGACGAGAACGACAAAAGCACATCACACGAAGGAGACGTATATGCAAGTATTTCAATTAATCCACATAAACGGAACAAAACAGCAATTTGACGAGGAAACCTGCTTAGCACACCGAATGTGTTTGGAGGTTTGCCAAACGTCCAAACACGTTCGGTCGTTCGGCCGAACGGATGCCGAATGCGTTCGCACGAACGAATTCCTGAGGCCGGCGAACGCGTTTGTTCCATGGGCGGTACCGGGCCTGTAGGGTCTGGGGGCCGTAGGGGGGGGGTGTTCGGGGGGCGTTATCGGGCCTGCAGGGTCCCACGGCCGTAGGGGGGGGTGTTCGGGGGGCGGGGTTAGGCGGTCGGCCTGGCGGGAAGGGGCAGCCGGGTCCCACCGTTTGAATTCGAACGCGAAGTCGGGCTGCCCCGCCGCTCGTCCACGCGCACCGTACGCCAGCGACCATCGTGCCCCCGGGTAGGTCCACCTCCTCCTCCTCCTCCTCCTTCTCCGCCTCCCCCTCCTCCTCCTCCTCCTCTTCCTCCGCCTCCGCCTCCTCCTCCTCCTTCTCCTCCTCCTTCTCCTCCTCCTCTTCTTCTTCTTCTTCTTCTTCTTCTTCTTCTTCTTCTTCTTCTTTTTTTTCTTCTTCTTCTTCTTCTTCTTCTTCTTCTTCTTCTTCTTCTTCTTCTTCGTTCTCTCCTCCTCCTCCTCCTCCTCCTCGTCCTCCTCCTCCTCCTCTTCTTCTTCTTCCTCTTCTTCTCCTTCTGCTTCTTCTTCGTTGTCGTCGTTGTGGCCCTCTCCTCCTCCTCCTCTTCTTTTTCTTTTTCTTCTTCTTCTTCTTCCTCTTCTTCTTCTTCTTCTTCTTCTTCTTCTTCCTCTTCTTCTTCTGTGTCGTCGCCCTCTCCTCCTCCTCCTCCTCCTCCTACCCACCCACCCTGATTCCCGACTTCCCCCCCGTCGTCGACATCCCCTCCTTCTCCCTTTCGTCCTCCAAGTCCTCCTCCTCCTCTTACGTACACGGATCCCGACTTCCCCCGTCGTCGCCCTCCCCTCCTCCTCCTCCTCCTCCTCCTCTTCTTCTTCTTCTTCTTCTTCTTCTTCTTCTTCTTCTTCTTCTTCTTCTTCTTCTTCTTCTTCTTCTTCTTTTTCGTATTCTTCTTCTTCTTCTACAATCAACCAATCAATCATCAATCAATCAATCAATCAATCAATCAACCAGTCCGTTCACTTAACGAATCGAGTCGATTCGTTGATTGAAACGAATCTACATCAAGATTCGATTCAATTAACGATCGAATCGATTCAATGATTGAATCAAATCTAGATCAGAATTCGATTCAATCAACGAATCGAATCGATTCATTGTTTGAATCGAATCTTGTGTGTGTGTGTGTGTGTGCTCGCTGCCCCCACTGCCCCCGCGCGCTGCCCCCGCTGCGCCAGCTGGTGTTTGTGTGTGTGTGTGTGTGTGTGTGTGTGTGTGTGTGTGTGTGTGTGCGTGCGCCCGTGGTCGTGGGGGTGGGGCGACCCCTCCCCCACCA